TAAAAAAAAAAAAAAAATTATTTTATATTCCTCATTATGCAAAACTCTAACACTTGTTAGATTATTTTAATATATTAACTGAAAAAATGTGCACCGATAACAGCATACCGTGTTAGTCGATACTTTAATATCGCAAAAAATTTACCGCGTTGAACATTTGTGCGATAAAAATTACATTTTAATTAAACAATAATGATCATTTCGTTTCGTTAATATATTGCTACAAATTGACCAATGTTTATATACACAAATCACGTTACAGGTGCATACACAGGCACATACACACCATTGGTCACAACATAGACTTTAGAATATCGTGATTTTCGTTTCGACTGTGAACTCTCTTTGTTATCGCATTAGTAAGCGTTTGTAAAATATCAATCAAGCTCTGGTAACAAGAGTTATATTTGTATCTGTAGTTTAAAAGAGCTACATATTGCTATATCAATGCGCGAAATATATCCGTACATTATAATCAACATCAATATTTGATATATTGTTCATCAACGAGATGCTTGCCTCGATTAAAACAATACGATGAAAAAGATATCATTTTTTTTGTTTAATATAAAAATGTCAGCAATTAATATTAAAGGCTAATGGCACGAGTTGGAATGCACTGAATTCATATACATAATCGTGATTAATCCGATATATGTGTATCTTGTTTATATATTTGTAAAAATTAAATGGAATCGATGTATAGTAAAGAGCAAATTAAATTAAAAAGTGACATGATAAGATGCAACTGTCTATCGGTTAAAAAAGGAATAATTAATGCCGCATCGAATACGATCATATATCTATTTACGGCCGTAGGTATGCGCGTTGTCTTTCTCAATCACTAGAAATACCTCCAACATTGTTCATAAAATAAAGCTATCATAAAAAAGAAAAAAAAAACAACAAAAAACAAAAAATAACCAATAAAAAGACAAAAATGGAGAAAAATTTAGAAAAAAAAGGAATAGGAATTATCTTTGCAAGTTAAACTAAGCGAGAATAAATCCGATAAAATTCTACATATATACTTAATATATAACTACTTAGAATTTAATACGCGACATGTTTAAAGCTTTACTTGTCCATTATTATGCGATTCGTAGTCCGATTAGTAGCCACAGTAGGCGATTATAATTACGTTGCAAATAAAAATGTTTTATAGTGTCGCGTAAACTTGCGCGGAATGAGTAAATTAGTCGTTCTTATTTTCAAAAGTAATGACTTCTACCTTGGTGATCTTTTTAGGATCAGGTGTTCCAGTTTCCAGGATCTCGACCTTCTGGTAAACATTCGGCGAATTTAACCAGCGGGATCTGTCTGTGCCTTTACGTCCACCTTTCCACAGCCTGTTCAAGACAAAAATTAAAAAAAACCTAGCATGTCGATTATTTCGAAAAAAATATCACCCACGTGAGACACAAAAAGCAGAAAGTTACCCTTGCTTGTATAATTCTTCTTCCTCAAGTAGATATCCTAGGGACGATACAGCCGGTGGAACTTCAACATCATTTCGCGGTTTCGGAGGTTCTCCTTTCACGAGTGGATTTCTATATATGTAGCCCGTACGGAATCCCTGGAAAAGAAAACGCGACATGCGGGAAGACGTTATTGTATTCAGATGCGCCTAGCGACGAGCGTGTCTGAACTTACAGCATTGTCCAGCATTCTCATAAGAGCTTCAAACTCAGCGCCGCCGATTCTCCAACGTTTCTCGAGCTTCTCGGCGAGAGCGGACGACTCCACCGCCGAAGTCTGTTGCTGAGGGATCGGTGGTTTCCGCGAGGCCTCAAATATAGCTTTCTTCGATTCCTCGCTGATGAGATTTAGATTGTCTATGCCCGCGGGCATCAGTTTCAATTGCGTCTCGCAAGCGACCACAGTATTGTAAACGTTGAAGAACGCCTCTTCCACCGTCTCTCCGCAGCAAAGTGCGCCGCGGTTCGTCAGAAGCATAACTTTATTCATCGGCCCGAGGTTCCTCGCGATCTTCTCCCGTTCTTCCGGTTCGACGGAGCCTCCGATGTACTGGTGAGTGCTCACCTCGCCTATCACTATGCTCTCCTGTCCGATTGGTAACAATCCACACTTCAAAGAAGAGACCTGCGAAATATACTTTGCATCTCAGTGCGATTCTTTTCGGAAAAAAAGAGGTAACAAATATTGGCTATTGATCATCGGTCACTGAACATTGTGCAATCGAGTACAAGGTGCAAGCGCTCGTGAAACGCTCGCTACGATACGCGAGACGCACAGATCAATGAGGAATGAAGAAACGAGAGACGAAGCGTTTACTCACCGCGGTAACGGACGGAGTTGTAATATGAATAATACATTTGATATCGGGTCTCGCGGCGTGTATTGTCGAATGCAATTGGAAACTTGTTATATGTACGCCGAAGTTCGTCGTCCCCTGCTCGACAACCGCGCCTTGCATGTCCACCTTGATCAGACTGGAGGCTGTGACCTCGTGATAAAGTAACCCATACGGATTCACCAGGAAATGTTCCTGATCCTGATTGAGACGGGCGGTGATGTGCCCGCCGACGCCCTGCGTCCATCCGTATAGATCGAGCAATCTGAAGACCGCCGCCAGCTTGCATCGCAGCAGCTTCTCGCCCTTGGCATATCCCATGCTCTCCACGCCGCGAATGTCGTTGATAGGTAAGACGCAATTTGAATCTGCGTTTTCGAACAAATCGTGTCATGTGCGCAAGCAAAAAAAAAAAGAAAATTATTGTAATTTCAAGCGGAGCAGAACCAACTTTTGAACACATTGCCGTTGAATCGGGCTCCCTGCGCGCCCATCATGTCAGAGATCTGTTGCAGAAGACCGGAGGGTCCAGCACCGTCCTTCATCTGTGTCTCGATTATACGTTCCAATTCTTCTCGGAAGATCCGCGAATTCATCATCATCTCGACCCTCTTTCTCCTCTCCATTTCTCGCATATCCTATGGACAAAATATCCTTTTATTCAATATGATTGCGTGTTTGATTAATTCGCTTGTTTTCGAGATTGAAGATCGTCATTAAATGCCGAATCCTCTTCGACTTTCATTGTGGGGAAAAAAGAAGAAAAAAAAAAAAAAACCATTGACCTTGTATTCTACGAAGCTTACCGCGTCGATATCGGCGGGTCTCATCTTGCTTTTTTCATCCTCCGTCAAACCGTCCACCACTCCGTTCGTGTGTGGTTCGCTTAATGCTTGTTGGCTCGTGTCTGCCATCTTCGAGCCTCGTACAAGTACCGGCAACTGAAACAAAATAGTTTTCTGATATCGCTTACTAGTCCAAAAAATATCTTTCACGCAATAAATTCTTTATTTATTTCGAGTCGTGTAATCTCAACAATTGAAACTCACGATAAAAGAGAAATTTTGCACTCTGCACATCAATTTCTACATGATATTTTATTTTCATACAACAATTTCTCGATATCTGTTATAGAAATAGTAGAACGTGAATCGTAGAAAGTGCTAAAGAAAAAAATTATAAACGCGAAGAGTGGGATTGCGGTGCGTCAGGTGTCGTTCGTTCGAAATACGCGAAAGCGGCATTTGTACTCGTTTCCCCGAATCCAATGCGAGGTATATGGACACCTTACCGGTGTGCGATCAATAAAGTTGCGGGGCCCTACCAGGAATCGTGTGCGTGCGACATGGAGACGCGTTACGACATCCTTTTATATAGCTACAAGTTTTTTCGGGAGTCGCCACTCGAGTCCTCCTCCTTTCTCTCTCTCTCTCTCTCTCTCGACTGACCAATATATTATTGACGTTACCGGCGCTGAAACACAATGTTCACATCCGTGTAGCAAGTATCGCTCGCTCAGCGTTCGCTTAGCTCCGCAGATCTGTGTCACCGGTCGTTCACCGCTCGGCTTTCCTTACGCCAAGTACCGGTGCATTGGACACGCAACGTACTCTCGCACTCGGCAACACACATCCTTATCCTACGGCATCGCTTTTCACCTTTTCACGCCGCGCTTCCCGCACCGCCGCGGTCGGATCCCACGCTAAATATTCCGCCGGCGTAGGCAGTGTTATAACGCAACCACAACAAACATCGTAACGTCCTCCTCGAGCGATGCATTTTTTTTTCCCCCAGCGTCGCTAAAAATCACCGATCGATAGACCGACGAGATTAGTTCGATTCGACGCATACAGCTTGGGCGTTCGACTGTTACCGCGCCGGAAAGCGTGCGTCATGCGTCTGCACTTCCGCCCTAGCGTGCACAAAAAAGGAACGAGCGCGATAATTAAGCTCGGGATTATGTGGCGCGCACGCAACACGATCGAGCCGATCGCGCACAGTCAAATTTTTCCGGGCTTCGCGCAACTTTGTGTGTTGATAATTATGTAAACTTAATGTTTAGAGCGAGACAAAAGGCAGCCTGACGTTAGTTTACTCGGCGTTGCTTCATTCGGAAATTTATGTTCCATCGAAATTTGCCTCATCTCGTTACGCGCTAGTAATACAGAAATATGTATTTCCGTACGAATACGCGCTTGCAAACAATTCGAATCTAATACGAAAATAACGCGGGATATTCGTAGTGTGTTATCGTTTGAAATTTTGCCAAGTGCAAAGAGCAGCCGACAACTCGCTCTCGTTAACATTACGTCCTATCGATACACTACGAAATCCAGCCCGTTCAGTCCGGAAACGCCGCTTGCAAAAAATATAGCAACAGTTGTGAATAACGGCTCGGTATGAATTGATGGTAATTAATGTTAAGGGGTTGAGGTATTCGGTATAAGTGGCTCCGTTTAAGTCCCTCGCATATACGCGTAGCCTCGTTGACGCGCGACACGGCCGTTGTAATTCGTTGCCAATATTCGCTCGATATTGGCCGAACGAACAAGAGCACTAGAGCGATGAAGAAATTAAATAAACGCGTCAATGGAAACATAAAGGAACAATGGATGCTCGGCCACAATGATTTCTCGAGCATACGAAGTACGACAGCGTGTAATTCGCTAATTATAAAAGTACATAATAAAAAACAATTGTAATTAAGACAGCTATAATTATAATTTCCAATTTAAGCATTCTCTCGCAACGAAAATTTTGTAAAATAAACTGAGCAACGATTGTCACTCGGTTACGATATTTCATCTTCTTGGACTCGCACACTGCCGTCATTCGTACAAACGTTATCTCGGTAAACGATAACTGGACAATGCGGGCTACTCTGCGAATTGAATGAAAGCGATCATGGACGTTGGTCTGCGCGAGTCCGCGAGTCCTAGTCTTAAAATAGAGAGGCACCAGGGACGGAGTCGGATATTCGCGCATCTCCTATTTCTTTTTGTTACATCTGCTAAGTTATCGAGGCTGAGACGTGCCGCGTGCCCGGAGTGGCAACGTATTGATCATCTTAAGTAGCGCTGAAAAAATGAAAATATCTTGCAAATTTATAAATAAATACACGCCGAGACACAAACAATCGGTATACATGATTAATCAATTCAACAGCCTGCGATCAATCTCTGTCGAGCGTCTCTCGTCCTCTTTGATTTACATACGTTTCTCTCATATGATTCCATCACGGTGTGTTGATTATACGTGGAGGAGATCGTGATGAAATAAAAAAAAAAAGAGAGGAAGAAAAAGTTCCAAACGAGCTGTGTTGTATCACTGTGCATCCGACGCGGGAGCCGTGTGATGCGATGATTAGCCCCTTACGCAACGTAGCCCGTAGCTATGGAATCGCTACGTGCACGCGTACGTGCGTAAGTGCGCGTATACCTGCACACGTGCTTAGTCGACTTGTTTACGGACCCGAAAAATACAGGTTTCTCGAACGATCTAAGATTCGTTTGAATTAACTCATTAATCCTCATTAGTCTCAGAGTCTGAATTGACCGATCTCTCTTCCCGCACAGATTATTGACATAGGTCGCAATATGTTGCAGAAGAATATCTGCAATGTTATAAGCAATAGAATGAGCAATCGATACCCGATAGAAAATGATGATAGAAAAATCAATTGAGAAGCGAGACTGAATGGTAATTACGGATTCGCAGTTAACACCGAGTGACATTTACATCGCGATAAATGGCCATTTTAACGTTGACATCACACGTTAAAATAAATACGTAAATGCGGATTATTGTCGGATACCCGGCCGGCGACAACGGCGACGGACACTTAACGCAATGACGTCATGGTTAATCACAGATTATGCCCGTCGCAGCGAGCGAGCATCCTAGAGCGCTATCAATTATGAGACAAAAGTAAATACTGATAGGGAAGAAATGATGAGGTAAAATTAATTCTCCATTGCACGGAGCACCGATAAAGAGCAATGATTTTCGAGAAACGGGCCGCCACAAAATGGAACATTAGCGTGTCGCATTCCGTTGTTCACACTCATGCGAAAAACTATGCCGCACAGTCATTGGCTTATTAGACGAAAACACTTTAATTGATTTTAAATAAGCTCGAACATCAACTTCTGAACGTGTTATTGTCCTGACCTTTGTCGAAATAATCGGAATGAGAATTATTGACAGGCGAATCGGCGGTATCTCTATCTGCACAAACGAGCGTTACATTGGAATTCGATTGGAAATTGCTGCCAGTATATATATAAACGACACAATACGATAATTATTCTCAACATAATATGATGAAACCTGTCGCTTCGATCTTACAAGTTCAATCGATAGTTTCGCGAATTTGCATAATCAGCCGAGCGGAACGCTCGTAACCTAAACGTTGATCGATGAATCGTCGACCGTCAGTAGTGAAAGGCCGAGATATAGATATGTGCGATAAGAGTATCACAGGGTAGCTATTCGCGTTGTAGACAGTGACAGAGGACGATGCAAATGGCGACATTTTAGGGGGCAAATTTGGATTTCGGTCATGCGAGGCGACGGACGGAAAAAACGGCACAAAGGCAAGACTCGTCGTCGTCGTTGTCGTCTTCGCCGTCGCCACGGCGTGGCTTCCCGTTCACGCCGGGAACAACGGCGACGGTAACGAGAAATCGAAGTCGCGTGGTGCATCGCGTCGCGGTGTGAATAGCATCGGCCGACACACCCCTTGCGCTACGTCACTCATCGTCAGGCGCGAACGAGTAATGAGCGGCGATTCGCAAAGCCGCGATCCCCGTGCTTGCCGAAATCGAATCGCGCGGAATTGGCCGGATCGGCCGCGTCGTACCGATAATGTGACTTACCCAGCAGGGAAACGCCGTCAGCCGTCGCCTCCTTTTCGAGATATGCCCGTGCCCGTTTCACGAACCGTACAACAGCTCGCCGTCCGTATCACCGCGCGCGCGGCTGTTCCGTTCGATGAACAGCTTCCCCGCCGCCTCCGCCACCGCCTTCACCGCCGCCTTCACCTCTGTCCTCTCCGCCACTGCCACCGCCGCCAAGCCTGACGCTTCTACTGGCTGGCCGTTGCCGATCCACCGTGCGCCAACTCGCAGCTCTGTCCGACCGGTTAAAACTCACTGTCCACGCATTTGTGTGCCGCGACGCCGCGAAATCGCGTTTGCTGCAGTGCACAACCGGCGCCGAGAATGGCGTAATTATTAAACGCACCGTTTTACATGCGCTTCTTGAGACCTGCGAAAAAGCGCATAGCTGAAGTCTCGCGGCTTTACGTTGAAACGCACAGAATAGAATACAAAAAGTCGGCGTGACCGTTAAGAACCGACGATTATTGGTTATTGTGCTATATCAGTTTATCGCTATTCGATAATTACACAATAAATACTTTGATAAAACAGAGATAAACACAGCGTGTGACTCAAGAGTCCATAAACGTTGAATACTCTAGATGGCTGAGCTAAACGCTACGAATCTTTACAGTTCTGCCATCTGTCATCGGTTGGCATTAATATTCGTGGACAAAATTACCAACACATTTTTTTTTTTAAGTTGCCTCTATGTTGATGTCTAAACTGTATTCTACATCTTCTGTATTTCATCTTCTATGTCATTCTTTGTCCTGCTAACATATTTTTTTTAATAGAATCTCTTTGATAGAAAACTTTGACAATTTTATTGATTTTATTAATCGCCACGAATGATTAATTATAACTTTCGTGCTTACATTTACATGTAGCAGTTGTTACATTTTGCACAAATTAATTACTTTATATTCACAAATATGTAAATAAAGAGAAACTCTTTGTATTTCACGCATATAGCCTAATGAAATAATCACTGATTATAAAATCATTTGGTAAATATTAATATATTGAACATTAAACAAGTAATACCAATCCCGCAAAAAATGAATAAATAATCTAAATTTCCTAGTAAGTGAAATGTCATAAACTTAGATAACCAAATGTTAGCAATGTTGGAAGATTGAGTCCATGTGCTATATAATTTAATAGGCGAGTTGAAGGCACGCCGTGACGAAACAACATGGCTACTTTCTTCCATGCGGAGAATAATCTAAAAAAATATAGAAGATTGACAGCAAATTTTATCAAATTTCCTGTCGATCTGCATTGCTGACATTTGAGTTTATAGCCATTTTGTGATAGAGCAAAACAACTTATACATGATTTTAAAACTAATTATTATATATAACTTTCACCTGTTTTTACTTTTAGGACAGTATTTAATATATTTTAAACCGTCAAATTGGCAAATAGATCTGAAGCAACATCGCTAATTTCTTTTTGAATCAACTGTCACAGTGCATAGTGAACAACTAGATGCTTGATGTAAAAAACTTCGACGCGAAAACAAATATCTTCTTACGTCAGGGCGTTCCTAATTTGCAGCTGTCTTTAAAACGAGATAACATTTGATTTTCATTGTCTATAACGTATATGTGTGTGTGTGTGTATGAACGTTACATTTGTTAACAATTTTAATAAATTAAACACTAATCTGATATGCCATTCAGCACAAATCGCATTATAAATGTTTTCAAAAAATTGCATATCCATTAAATCTATCGAATGGAACAATCTACATAACAATACCGGTCTAAAGAGGTAAACAAATTTTGTATTATCGTGTGCTGTTTACAGATTAAAGTACATTAGAAAAACTGTTAAGTCATCATTGATGTAACACAGCAATTCGTAACGTTAGAGTAGTAACAAAACTTTTAAATATTTTACAGAAAATTAGGGAATATTATGATAGCGATGGCAACTTCAAACTACAAGGCAAATTGTACTTCTGACAAATACGCGTACGTATTTCCTTGAAAGATAGAATGTTTGGCGATAAGAATTTGACGTAAGCATTCTTGCGACAAGCGGTATTGATAAAAATCAATATATGATAAGCGACCATATGTGCTTATTTATGATCGAATAAACAAAGGAGAATGATGAAGCAGACATCCCAAGCGGACAGGCCCCACTGGAGCTGGCCTGATGTGATTAACTTCTTATTTTATCATTGCGCAACAACCTGTTTTGTAGGCACGCGAAAGTACAATCTAGATCGGCTCCTCTCGACGGACACGACATAAAACGTAGACGACTCACTAAATCATCTTTAGTCAGTATTTAGCCTGCGGACAGTTAACATCACTGTGGGCATATTTCTCAATACTCTGTACAAAGAACCCGAAGAAGGCACGCATCTGACATGAACGCGTCTACACTCAGATCAGTTTTCCGTCAAGTACGTGAGTGCGAATTATTTTTTTCTTGTTTATTATTTTATCTGATTTCGAAGTAATTGGATATATCTTGTAATATTTAAAGTATGCTCTAAGAGTGCTACTAAATCTTTTCTTATCCAGGAAGATATCTTGATGTCGTTAAGCGTATTAAAAGATAAAATCTATTTGATTCCACTCTGTTAGATTTTATACGATTTAGTATTTTTTATCCATTATTTCACATTGTCACATGACACTAATCTATTAATTATATTCGGTTGTATTGTAACATTTGTCTATGCACACGGAAAACTTTTCAGTATTCAGTCATTGAGTCATGTCATGTAATTTTCAAAGTTCATATTATCCATATTTAGTATCATTTTATAACATCCATTCAATTTAATTCATTATTTTAAAAGGGCAATTAGTAGACTAATTGCAAACGATCGAAAAAGAGAGAAATTATATTGAAAGTTATTTTTATCTTTTTTATACTTATTTTTACAATAGTTTATAAAAAATATGCAGGAACTTTTAAAATTATTTGATATATCTTGACATATCTTGATTTTGCTGAATTGTCTTTAATTTTATTTTATATACATGCGTTATATAATGTTATATGCTTATTACCTTGAACATATGTAGTATATATTTGTAGTATGTTATTGAATGTATGCAATGCTACGTTCTATTCCTAAGGTTAAATAAATAATTACGGTAACTGACAGATCATTAATCTTCTGCACGCACTCACTTGTACACTCTTCAGATGAAACATAAAAATATATACTTTTTAAGAAACGATTAAAAAAGTGCATTTTTTATACGCACTTGATAAGCTAAGCGGTACATGAAGATAAAAATTTACGTATTTTACAGATGCCGCAAAAATTGAGGCAAACGCGAAAAATACATTTATGCGTGTCACTCCAGCAATGTCCGAGTCCTTTGACGCAATTTACAGACGATGAATTGATGATGAAAGAAACTGGTAAGTGTCAAATATCTAGCCATAAAAATCACAAGTTGATAAGCGAGCTCGCCAGGCTAAAAATTTATTTCTGTGCAATATATTTTCGGAATTTAAACATTGTCCGTTCTTTTTTTTCTTTTATTTAATCAGTCGCTAAACTAGCTAAGGAGGAAATCGCTCCACTCGTGCGGAAAATGGAGAAGGAAGGAAAAATAGACGATGGCGTTCTAAAGGCATTGTTCGAAAATGGCGTAAGTGTGATGAATGTATAATATTTTCAATATATTTGAAAAACAATTATCTTTACCATGTCTTAATTATCTTACACCGAGAGATTTCGCTAAGAAACTAGACTTCAATAAATCTAATCGGACTTCTCTAATAAAAACAGACATTGCGTTTTCTCTTCGCGATTGCGAGCAGTTGTTGCATAATTATGATAATGCCAATAACAATATACCCCACGCAAATATGTCTTATTGAAAGTGACATTGCTGAGTTAAATAAAAAAAAAAGGAAAAATATTTGCGTTACGAGCTGCTATTAAATGCAAGAAAAGATTTTTATTATATTTTATCATTTTATTACATATTTAAGTGGTGATAAGGCGATAATGCGATTTTATTTATACTAATGTATTTCATAAGTATATTTTAGCTTTATCTTGTTTTTAAAGAATTTACAAATATGTTACGATATTTGTTATTATTGTTCTTTCAATATATTTTTTAATTTTATATAATCTATATGTGAATATCACATATTTCAACATTCATTTTCCGTGAATAACACCTACATAAAGGCAGTTTTGAGAAGTTCTTGCTAGACTTTCATTAAAAGAGAAATGTCAATTCTACAGAATCTTATAAAATATATAATAAGACCACAATACATGTACAACTTTTTGTACATAATACCAGTATTTAGCTTACGAAAAATTCTTGTACGTGAATAATCACATTGTTCACGTAATGAAAAAATAGTAAATGAATATAATAACAATTTTACTTACAAATTTTTGTAATATTTTTTAAAATGCGAATATATGAATTAATAAAATAAAGTAGGTTATTTATTAATTTCTAAAAAACTTTGCTAATTTCAGTTAATGGGTCTTGAAGTTCCCACCGAATACGGCGGCACAGGTAGCAATTTCATGAGCACAATTTTAACCGTTGAGGAAGTCGCGAAAGTTGACGGAGCCGTAGCCGCTCTTGTTGACATTCATAATACCTTAGTCAACTCGCTGATTATCAAAGTCGCCTCTGAAGAACAGAAAAAAAAATATTTGCCTAAATTATCCCAAAATTATGTAAGTAATTGTATCAAGAATCATATGGAAAAATACATACGTTACATAATGATACATCGATTTCAGGACTTATGTGACAGAAAAGTATTTTTTTTTAGGCTGGTAGTTTTTGCTTGACAGAACCTGGTTCGGGCTCAGACGCTTTTTCTCTCAAGACCGAGGCCAAAAAGGACGGTGCCGATTATGTGATCAATGGCACAAAAATGTGGATCTCGAATTCTGACATCGCGGGAGTTTTCTTGGTTTTCGCCAACGCGAACCCTTCTGAAGTGAGTAAATTCTTGCGCGTGTAAAAAAATGTATGCCACAGTCGACGTAATGTTCTTTTAATCAAACAGAAATATCGCGGCATTACTACTTTCTTTGTGGACCGCGAGACGCCAGGTTTGACGGTAGCTAAACCCGAGGACAAGCTTGGGATCAAGGCATCCGGCACTTGCATGATCCATTTCGACAACGTTAGGGTGTGTAACAGCAAAATGAATCAAGAAATCGAAATTAATTTATATCAACAACTAAAATTATTATGGCATTTTCACTCTTTAGGTACCCGAAAGCAATATCTTGGGTCAATATGGACATGGATACAAATATGCCGCTGGATTTTTAAACGAGGGTACGTAGAATATTTGATTTCGCGCTCAAGATACATAAAAATAAAATAAATAAGTGGCAATAGTCAGCAAATACATTCAACGTATTCGAGTAGAGAGATATAAAAGATAGAAATTAAAAACGAGCGGCTATCAAGTCTGAACGGATTTGCGGTTCGCAGATGACTCTGCGGAGAAGTCGATTCGCGAGGATGTTCTCGTTCGTCGGCTGCCGTTATTCTTTGTTGCTCGAAACAAGCAAAGTATACGAAAATTTCCTCGCTCTCAACGCTCTTACAATACATTATACGCCTACAGGTAGAGTCGGTATTGGAGCCCAAATGATCGGCATAGCACAAGGATGCTTAGACGCGACCATACCGTATACGCTTGAGAGGAAACAATTCGGAAAGGATATTTTCTCATTCCAAGTAAATAATCAAGATCCGTTTCTTATTTTCCTTAAATAAATCCTTGTAGATTTCCATCTGAGGGGTAATTTCTGATTTCAGTCAATGCAACATCAAATAGCTCAAGCTGTGACGGAAGTGGAATGCGCCAGGTTGCTCGTTTACAATGCAGCTAGATTGGTGGATGCTAAGAAGGACGTTATGAAGGAAGCAGCTATGGCCAAGTTAATTGCATCCGGTATGTGATTTGCTAATTTCAATATCTTGTCGATTAAAAGTTGATGAGACAATAACATACGTTATACATCCACAGAAACTGCACTACGTGTCACCGCGAAGTGCATAGACTTTATGGGCGGTGTTGGATTTACGACAGATTTTCCTCAGGAGAAGTATTTCAGGGATTCCAAGATTGGCACAATTTACGAAGGCACAAGCAATATGCAATTATCGACGATTGCAAAATGTATACGTAAGGAATATTCCTGAACAGTGATCAGTAAGATAATTTCTAGAAATGTTGCATATGTTTAGCTTATACGTTGTATCACAATTAATTCATCTTTAAGACATTGGGTTGTCCGAAAAATTCTTTTTGTTATTCTGAGAAGTACTACTCTCAGCTCGACGACGCGGCGATCGTCAGGAAACGTCCAGAATTAGCTAATAGGCGAGGTGTTGTCTTTTATCACGACAACGCCAGATTGCAGTTGGCCGTTCGGAACAAGTTGCTGGCATTGGAATGTTCTATCTTATCTTCCACTCTCCGGACCTCGCTCCTTCTTACTATTACTTGTTCCTTTGTCTAAAAAATTTTCTTTATCGTAAAAATTCGGCTTTTTGAATGACATCGAAATTAACCTCAATCAGTATTTTACCAGTAAATCAAAGACATTTGAAAAATCAAAGAAAAATGGCATCACAAAGCTTCCGAAGGAAGATGATAGAGTAAAATGACTCGTATATATTTCGTATAAATTGTGTCGTTCATAAAATTTTGCATGCGTCTAGTAGAAAGAAAAGAACTTTTGAAACAATTAACAGGAAAAACGCTTGTATAATCTTAAGAAATTCATAAATTCGTTATTAATAAGAATATATTTTTATACTTTTATAATGATATAAAAGTAAAATAAATTTTTATCGCAAACAATTTATTATGATAATCTTGAATTCAGATCACCATTATCTTTACAGATATACAATAAAGTAAAGATGGGTATTATACAGGATGAAATATGTCCATGTATCACTAACAATATTTTACAAAATTCTATTATCTTTCATTTTGGATCATGAGGCAGCTTAAAACCCACAAGATCCGCAGTTTCTTTTATACTGCGTTCACCCTTGCCAGCGTATTGTTTATGAATCTCTTTACATATTTGCTGTGATCTCAAGTAGCATAGATACATTTCTGCTAAATTCTTCAACTCCTCTCTCGCTTTACACAAAACTTCAGATGTTTCTTTGTGGGCGTGAGCTTGTTCCATGATATATTGTAACATTGCGTTATTTTTCGTACTCTTATTCTGAGAAACTCGGCGAAGTTCTTGGGCCAGAGAGCGAACAATTTTAATATTATTATTCATTGTTGTTGTATTCTAAAAGCGAATTAAGCAATTAATTATACATACAACGAAAAAAGAATGTTTTAACTATAAGTTGATGCATAACAATGAAAGAAAATAATTACAATGCGTCAGATATTATTTATCACTGTGCGGCTGTAACAAATTCGACGTCATCCACTAAATATCGTGGTTCCTCTCTAGAATTCCAAAAATCTGCCGGCACTTTAAGCAAATCTTGTTTGGCAAAGATATGAATGCTAATATCGTTGAAAACTTCCTCGTGTACAAAAGAATTTCCCAATTGAATTTCTGTAACATAAGGTTGAATGCGCAGTATGTAAGCTGCTGTATTCAATACATCTCTGTGCAAACAACTGTCGACGATCCCTGAGAAACTGTTAGCGAGTAGAATACAATTGTTCAATCCAGCTCCCCAGTTCGCGTAGAGGAAGTTATTGGTCAGTTGTCGCGAGCAATGCGGCATGTACACGAGCGTTATCTTATCTTGATGAATGACACGCTTGCCCTCCTCATTCGTATCTATAACTTCCAGACCCAAAGCACGCAGGAGCTGCACTTCCTCGAGACAAAAGGCTGGATCGTACAAAAACACACGAGCGTCGTATCGTGTTTTCAAACATAGTAATAGCGCTAATTGATATTTCGACGATCTAAACTGCGAGAATCGTCCTAACCCGTAACAGATTATCTCGGAAATATTGTTAGAGTTTAGAACGCTCAGAGACTCCGCCAGCTGGCTAAGAACAAACTTGGTAAACGACGTGTCTTTGATTTCGACTAGTGTGCTGTCTAACGTGCTGAAAATTGTCGTAAAAACGTATTGCCAATTAGGTTAAGTCGGGGTGGCCGGCGCATCTCGTTATCGTAAAACAAATCAGCTGTGACACGGCTTACCGAGTAAGGAGTTCGTAGTCGATTTCGCAGTCTTGCGTATGCACGTTCTGATTAGCTGCACCTCTGCTCAATTTTCTTTTTTCGTTATGATGCTTTTTTCGACGGGTCACCAGCGTAAAATCACTCGCTCCGGACATTGTCCGACATGATCACTGAAAAAGTATTATTATAGACAGCCATGTGTGTAAATTTCGTGACTGTACACAACAAAGAGATCTCAAGAGATAATCAAAGAGCGGTAATATTATCAGGTATCGGTCACATGGAGTTCTGCATTTATCATCGACTACTTGTTTATTCGATTTTACTTTAGATGGTATTGCTGTGCAATTGCCAACCGGCATAAAAATTACAACATCAATTTCTCAATGATCACATGTTTTTTTACATGTTGTGTAAAATGCTTCTAATTAGAATTCGATATTACTGATTTTTTATCATATTTTATCTCCATTGAAGACGATAATTACATATCGAGTGTGCTACTCTTTGACATTCGTATCGCGAGGGTATGTATACCGCACGTATTTTATATGCAAAAATTTCACAGCAAATTTAATTTGTGATTTAATGCGAAATGAGCGAAATTTACGAAATTCATGTGACATACAATTCGTTCCTAAACAGATGCATCGCACCGGCAAACATCACTGTGCAACATTGTCGAGTAGCAACTCCGCAATGTATGCAGACATCGGTTCTCGTTCAGGGTCGTCGGTTGGCCGTGCATCTCGTGCGTATATTGCGTACGGGATAACGGGATGGTGCAAGGTAGTGGAAATGAGTCATTCGCTATTGCACGCGCCACGACCTATCGCGTATAACCGAGCAAATAAGTCACAATATGTCGTGCTGCGCTGAGGACGATTGACGGCTGCTTACACCACGACCGTGAATCCGATACAGTAATGTTGCATGCAAATTTCCATTTATCTCTGCATCTTGCTATCATAGTGACTAGATTGTTCGGACGCTATTTACATTGCAATAATACCTGCATTGAAGGATGTAACCGATGTATCTAATCTTCATATGACTGTTAAATTGTTAGATTCTGCGGTATCCATCCCATAGATATCTCGCATGTCGTTCATCGCCGTCTACGGTGGCTTTGAGCGGTGAATGTATAATGACAAAAATGTCGCATATTATTATGGGACAAGGCGCAGCAGGTGTGCGAGAGGTGTCGCGCGTTGACTTCCGACTATAATCGTCGGTGTGATATTGTCATAATGTCTCTCACCTCGCGAACAAACAGATGGGCCTCGAGAGCGGTCGTTATATTACAACTGATCATCTGGAACGCTATCGGTATTTTCCTCCTTCAGAGAGGCGTCAGTTCCTTACGCAGAAAAATGCTAGAAACAAACAACATTATTGAGGTAATTAGCATTTAATCAAATGCTAATCACAACTAATAAGTTTAATAATAATTGAGTAAGCTTTGCCATATGCAACTGCGCTTTAAAATGATCGCAATTCTTTTTATCATACTTTGCTATAATTAAATGATAAACATTGATAAGAAATTATCAACATACTATTATTAACGGAAAAAATGGAAGATTGATTAAATTAATCGATAAAAAAGGAAAATTAAATTAATGAAGAATATACTTCTTTTTCGCAGATAAATCCATCGATAGGCCTTGGTGTCGAATCCACTGTATCGTCTATGAGATACATCGAAAATGATTATGATCTTGCTATATCCGTCCAGCAACAATTGGTCGATAAGAACGCAAAGATGATAATTGAAATAAATTCGGAGTCGCCCTTAGACAATCAAAATCGTCCTGGATTAAATGTAATTAGAAGTACATTGGGAGATGCATTCGAAATTGTAACGGAAGAGGAACGATCCACGCTGTCCTTTTTGGATTCTCTAGAGGTCCCAATGATCAATCAAGGAACACCAAGTTCGCCGATGAAAAATCAATTAATGAATATAAACCAGCGCGATCTCGAAGGTAAAAGCACAGGGAACAGAATTTCGAGAATAGCTCGTGACAAAGAGCGTACTCTTGCTAACAGAATCTCAGAAGTGGAGAAGGCTGTCACACATTCAGAATCGGAATCAATTTCGCAGGAGGAAGAGACCGATGCGACGGGAAAGGATTCTGATTTCGTGGAAAACACATCACGGCCTACGATGCACAAATTATCGACGCAGATATCGTCAGTCCGTGAAAAAACCGGCGATTACGGCGTAGACAATCTTCGGAGAAACGAAAATAGGATAAAATTTTCTCGCATAAGCAACGGTAGCGCAGCGACGGCTGTTGCTATGGTGGTGATCGGAGTGATTATGCTGTTATTGGGGCCAGCCATGATTATTTTACGGGTTTTCGACGAGAGGAGGCGAGCGAGACAAATGACTATGTTATCGGCTACTGCACGGGAGGATTTGCCACCGAGTTACGAACAGGCCGTCTTCATGAGCGAAGCGCCGAGATATTCAACGCTCGCTTTAAATGACGATCGCTCGTCGTCGCCTACGCCGCTTCCCTCATCCTCTTATACTTTTTCAGATTTTGTAATCAAATCACATTCTACGTAAAGAATTGTGTTATTTTTTTATATAATAAACACAAGTTGTTTTACATATATATATATATGTATATAACAGTTTTTTTAATTAATAAATAATCTTAGAAAAATCACAAGAGAATTCTTTAACTTACCAGATTCTAGTTTGCAGCTAATATGTTCGAGAAAGGAGAAATGTTTTACTTTAAGAGAGTACACACATAAATGTTATAATTTTAACATGAGCAAAGCAAAATAATCGATTTCATTACAAAAAAAAAATAAATAAAATGGGTTAATTAATATTTATAAATAGCAACTGCTCTTTAAATTATGTATATTTTTTTATATACGCACGCGCATAATACGAAACGTGAGTGATGAAAATTGAATGAATCGCGTCGCGCCGTCTTGCGAGTAAAGCAGTCGATTCATCCAACATGGTGCTGGAAAGTACAATGATATGGTAAGATTTTATAAGAATTTATAATTTTATATTGCCTTTCGTGATATTTTCACTAATTGTGCAGAATCTATTCGTCGCAATTAAGAAGTATCAATCAAAACTTACACGTTTATTCACTTTTATATGGATATACCTGGCAGATTCACAAATTGGAGGTTAGCGTACTGACAATGACGTTGACAATCTTGAACATCAAACTAAAAATATTTGATTCTAAATGATTGGAAAACGATGATATTATTAACTGCTTGTACTAATATTGCAATTCTAATGTCTACAGCGTCGATAACAGCGATTATATGAGAAATGGGGATTTTGTACCTACCCGGTTACAAGCGCAGCAAGATGCGGTCAACTTAGTGTGTCATTCCAAGACTCGTTCGAATCCCGAGAACAACGTTGGCTTGATAACTCTTGCTAAGTACGTATCAATATCCGTGATTATAACGTATAGTAAGTTAAATATAAATTTCTTTGTTTTTTTTCAGCGTTGAGGTGTTAGCAACGCTTACAAGTGATGTAGGCAGAATATTGTCCAAGTTGCATCAGGTTCAGCCAAATGGAAAATTGTGTCTCATTACGGGCATTAGAATTGCTCATGTAAGTATCCCTTATTTATTTTAATTATATAAATATAGGTATCTGAAAAACATATATTAATGAGAATTGTATAATTTCTATAGTTAGCGTTGAAACATCGGCAAGGAAAAAATCATAAAATGCGTATTGTTGCATTTATCGGAAGTCCGATAGACATTGATGAAAAGGAATTAGTGAAATTAGCCAAGCGCTTGAAAAAGGAAAAAGTGAACGTTGATGTCATAAGTTTTGGTGAAGAAAGCATCAATAACGAAGTGTTAACTGCCTTTGTGAATGCATTGAATGGCAAAGATGGCACCGGAAGTCATCTTGTCACTGTTCCGCCGGGGCCACATTTGTCAGATGCTCTGATCTCGTCTCCTATAATCCAGGGTGAAGACGGAATGGGCGCAGCTGGTATGGGTAGTGCCGCTTTTGAGTTTGGTGTCGATCCAAATGAAGATCCCGAACTTGCATTGGTTGGTAAAATGCATTTTATTAGCATTTGTTGTAAGATAGCGGTGATTAATTTTTTTTATACGATTCCTAGGCTTTGCGTGTTTCTATGGAGGAGCAACGACAACGGCAAGAAGATGAGGCACGTCGTGCGCAGGCGAACGAGACTGCTGCGAATAAGCAGCCGGAAACTATCAAGGAAGCTCCTAATGAGGAGGCAATGCTGAAACGTGCCCTTGCTATGTCACTCGAAGGAGCTGACGAATCGACTGCCGCTACTGACAACACTGCTCCAAGCAGGGGAAATGTGCCGGATTTCACTAATATGACGGAAGAAGAACAAATTGCTTTTGCTATGCAAATGTCCATGCAAGATCAGCGTAAGTCTATAACAGATAAGTCAATTAATGCTTGTTTTTCCTCATCATTTGTAATTTCTCTATTATTATTGTGCAGAGGAGTTAGAATCGCAGAAAGAAGAAGCGATGGATGTAGAGGAAGATTATGCAGCTGTCATGTCGGATCCTGCTTTTCTACAATCAGTTCTAGAGAACTTACCAGGTGTGGATCCGCATTCCGAAGCTGTTCGCCAAGCTGTCGGATCGTTACAGCAAAATAAAGATAAAGAGAAAGAAAAGGAAAAAGATAAAGAAAAAAAGTGAACAGTTGATTAGTTTACATTTACACTCCCAATTTGTTTAATTTCAAATTTTTCATTATTATGTATAATATTGTAGCTATCTATCTTGCTTGTGAAATATATTATCAATTTATCGAAACTGCTTCGATTTGTTTTATCATCCAAGTGTATTCAATAATTTTTGTTGAAAAAACTCGACAAAAATTGGATCAACTATTTAATATATAATGCTGTGTATTTTTATCTCTTAAATATACATTTTTAAAAATTATTTTTGGAAAAATTTAATTCACCTTTAAGCTACAATAAATTTATTAAACATTAAAGTTGTTTCTAAGTATTTATTTATTATAAGAATAATATGATATGTGTGTTTGTAAAGTTGGTTGCTTTCAATTAAATTTAATCATGAGATACTAATATTTAGATGTGACACTTGATGTGTGGAACTTTGTTTCGGAAGTAATTATCTCTAGCATTTGTTAGAGCGACCGAAAATCAGATATATTTTCACTAATTGTAATTTGGTAACATTGCTAATCGCACTGCACGTATGCGCACGCCTTCTTTCCGGCCGCCTTGATAATTTTGTATGTACGTATGTTCGAACGCTCTGTGATATCATGTATTTCACCTCGAAAATGTATAACAAATGCAAATTTTTATCGGGAGTGCTAATTAAAGTACATGCGAGTATGAGATAAATATTATGTATTGACGTATTACGCATTAGATTGTCTTGTTTACCGCGTATATTCGCGATTAAGTGTTTCGTTGCAGTATGTGTGATGTACTTCACGCGCGTTTTTACCCGCACTTACTTTTTTACAACATGGTCGTTTAGGTAAGTAATTTTAAATTGAAACAAGAATATCACGAAAAAAAAATCGTATAATATACTTTTACGCATTTGTATAAAATATCGACTTTTAATGCTTCACATTTATCGAAAGATAGGCCAATTTTCGCGTGCGGTATATCAATAAGTTTTCGTTCACTTCATTCACAAAGTTTTATCTGCAAATAAAACTGTTAAATCAACATTACACTTTTAATGCATATTTATAGATTTGTTGGGTTGTTTATTTAGTATAAAACAGATAACATAACATGGTAAAAAGATATCTTCTATTGACGTATTATTTACAGATTATATTATATATAATGATATTTACAATCTTTATATAAAAGTAATTAACAAATTAGTTAACTGCCACTGCTGAACCAATCCGATCCCATAGCACCGAAAAAAGCAGCTGCTCCGGATTTTATTGTTGCACTGGCAGAATCATTTTTTGTATTTTCTTTTGTTGTTACTTTCTTGCGCTACAAATGAATACATATTTTAATTTAAAAGATTACTCGCGTCGCACTATTGTTAGTACAATTGACAAACTAGCAAAAATTAAAATGTATAGAAATTGATTGATTAAATTAAAAATTGATTAAATTGATTAAATTCTGGGGATATATTTATTTAATAGATGTTATTCTAATTAATTTTTTAAAATCAGTCTCCACTAGTATTTTCTAAATGTCTCAATGTAATATAAGAGAATTTTTTTCATCAAAACATACCGGTTTTGTTTTTTAAATAAAAAGTTATAATTAGCGGTATAAAAGAACAAATGGAATTACATAGTCGCGTTAATTAAAAAATGATTAGTTCATTAATTTAACATCACGCCATGCAAAACTTTGTCAGCTTACCAAATTTACATTCGTGATATCTTTATCTCATTCAAATGGCACAATCTAAGAGTAGGTGCGTATATACATATAGAAAATGATTGAAGATACTTTGCTGGTTCAAGTTTGACAATATTACTCTATTAGTTGTATCACTAAAGTGTAAAGAAATGAGGAAATTTATGTACCTGTTTATCGGGTATCGGCACTGACATGATTGGTAAATTTCTCGTAGGAGCAGTCACAGTTAGCGGCGGGAACCACGGTGCTCCCGTACAGATTGCAAGTACCGCAGGCGGTTCGGGTTTTCCACTATCGCTGTTTACATGTTCATTGCGCGCACCCAAGATTGAGTGCAATTGTTCTAAATGAGATACTAAGTTTCCAAATATTAACTGGAAAATAACATGAGAATTAGCACCAAAGTTCTGTCTTCGTACGTTGATAGCAATAATATACTTACCAAAGATCTTTGAACGGATTTCTTAACGTTAGTATGAATAAATGGATTAAAGACATCATAGTCGAACGGATCTATCTTCGCAAGCACTGCATCGCAAGTTTTAGCTGACAATCCATTGAGAATTTTGTTTTCACGAGGCACCATGAGCAATGTGCAATATCTTACATCGTACAGTATTTGAAACGCTTGCTTCTGTCTGACATCTACATTCTTGAACGCGTTGAGATAATAATTAAACAGTTCTGTAATAATGCTTTCGATAATTTGCTGCAGCACCCTCCTAAAATTAGAAAACAGAAGGTAAAATATGTCACGATGGCATATCAATTTGTGTCGGATTGTGTCGCAATATTTACTCACTTCGGAAGCGTATGAGGTATAATTTTATTTAGATCTTTGCAAACAGCTGTTAAAAATTTTTGCAAGGGTATCGATGGTTGATACGGTACTAAAATTTCGGACTTTATCCGCTTCCCCTCTCCGGATTCTTCTTCGATGATAACTTTTTCCCACTCCGAAACAATCCAGTGAACGCGCAATCCATCAATTGATTCCCTTAATATAAATTTTTTCATATGTTCGGATATTTTAGTTTTATATACGTCAGCCCAAATAGACCACACGCCAGTACTTTCCTCTTTCAGATTATCGCACACAGTTTGCCATTTAACGTTTGTAATGGTCAGTCCAGATACTTTTGATAACGTAAAACATTTGTTTAAATTCGGACACAAAGTGGTTAACGCAAAGAGAAATCTTGCTAGTACTATAGCATTTATATCGCGTTGGCCATGCTCGGGTTTGTCGTTAACACAGGTGTTTTTAATAAACTGTACAAAATCTTCAATCTTTTCAGTACTGATCACTTGCAGATGTTCTTGGACATCATTACGATCGGAGAACGAATTTGCGATTAAAGATATGTTTGCCGAAAGCAAGCTATCCTTCACTGTTATTACTCGTTCACTTTCGTATAAATAATGCTCGAGATCGGACAGCAGCGTGTATAGATTTCCGTCAAACCTCTCGCACAATTTGATCACGTTCGGAGAATAGCCCTTAGCTTTCATTAGCAAGGATCTCTTATTATCCAAGCCACCGTTCTTCGAAAGCTTTTGTGGTATATCAGTGGGGGAGTCTTTCCACACAAACCATCGTAAATCGTGTTCTGGAAATTCGAATTTGTCGTGTGCTACTTTGTCGAGTAATTCTATTGTATTGGATTTTAAATCGGCTAATGTATCTGTCCACTTATCCGTTATAATACCTATAACAAAAAAACAACCATAAATTATCAAATTAAATAAAATCTTATCTTGTTTTATGTAAATATAATTACATTTGGCTCGTTTAGTTATAATAGGCTGGAAGAATTCCATCCAAAAAGTTATTCTCGGTAACGAAAGCTCTTCCCATATAGAATTCCAATTCTCAGGTAGATCTACATTCATAGCTTCTTCCCGCACACTATACAGGCCTTTAATAGAGATTATTAGATCTAATAATTTAGTGACCTTGACATTAGAAAAATTATTAACCCATTCCAGCCAAGATTTAACACTTTCTTGGAGGACTGGTAAAGAAAAGTTTTTTGGTATATCTTGAACAAATGGCTTATGATTTTTAGTAACAGATGGCAGAAACTCTTCTAGTAAATCCTGATTTACATCAAGCCGTGACAGCAAGCAGTGCGCCTTTTGATCTTTTATTTCTGTTATAAATTGCAAGACTAATCCTCCTGGTGCATTATCTGCATCTACAAATGCATATAAAATATTTAAAAATAAAATTTTGCTTACCATATTGATTTAGAAATATAATAGATGAGATACTTACTTATGAAACATGAATGTATCAAGTGGATAGTTTGTATAAGTATTTTCATACATAACTTCAGTTTACTTTTAACGCTATCGTGACTTTCTTCTTTAATAACAGATTGAATGGCATATCTCCTTGTGGATATTAATTTTTCTAAAAGATCCACAAACGAAGATTCATTTAAAAATACCAGAGACGCCAAGCAGTTAGCAGCATTCTGTAAGATAAATATGTCATTAATAACTAATGTTTAAATGTGAGAAATAATTTATAATTTGTATACTAACTATGGTTGAAACATCTAATGATTGTAATATCTTGTTGCATTCATTAGATATAATAGTCTTAAATTGCATAATAACATCCCATTGTTTTAAAACTATTGGGTATTTATTCGACAGCTCTGTGCTGCCTACTTCAAACATTAAACTGTAATTTATATGTTGCGCTATTATGAATAACTGTGTGGCAAATAACAAATTCTGATTCTCGATATTTCTCCATATATATTGTGGAATGTCCATTAAAATTTTAATTTGGATGATGATAGAATCCAAAACTTGCCCTCTCCTATAAAAAAAATTACAATTTAGACAAAAACTTTTATAGTGCATTTTCATCCAGATAATATATATTGACACATTGATATCTTGAAGTAAGCACCTATCTAGCTTATCTTCGATCAGGTCTGTCTTGAAACCAATAAGATATTTCTTTTGCAATTCTTTAAATTTTTCTTCTATATTAGCGATCCTTGTGATGACTTGCTCTGATGTTATTTTCATTTTTGCAATTGTGTCAGCAGCCAATATTAAATCGCGATACCTTTCTCTGAAATTTATTAACATTCAGTTTTTCAAGATTTCAATATAACCTTTCAGCTTTAAATAATGTACATTGTCTCAATTTTACATTGATAAAAAGACAAATTGTTGTACACTTTGATAGAAAATATCATTTATTTTAACTAATTTTAATTAATCATTTTAAATAATTAGACTAAAGCTAAATTGAGTTATATGAACAAATCTTACCCAACTAATGTCCGTAATTCTATTTTTTTCCTGTCACTTTCCAATTGAATTTTTTTCTGAATCTCTTCGATTTCTTTAATACTGTGCTCTTCAAATAATTTATTTATGTCTAAATCTAAATAATTTGTTGTTGTCATTTTTTTGACAGGTTGTACACTCTCTTGGAACCTGAATATCCACGTAGTTCGTACGTATCAGGTTAGATTATCAAACCGTAAGCTGTTTTACCATACTCTGACACAACCACCTAACTCCATCTAACTTTTCTAGCGAAACTCTTTGATTAACGAATAGCAAACGTTATCTAGCACTGCTACATTTAAATTATCTAGTTTTATTGCTAGATAATTATTAGAATTTGCTGCTAGATGGCATATGCTGGTCATGCAGTCTCATTCAAATGAAGTTGCATATTGATGCTGATGCAAGTAGGAAACAATATGTCTGTCGCAACATGGTCTGATTTTTTAATCTTTATTAATGATATCTTAAAATCTACTCAATATTTGTATCGTTTCTAACATCCTGTTAAATTTGCAGGCTTTGCGGAACAAATATAAACCTAAAATGGATGTAATTCGATGCCGATCTGTTACAATGTACTTTGATCAAAAGATGCGATCGAGTCTTTCCGCCAAGGTTATTTTCACTTTTTTTGTTAAAAAGATAAGTTTCAATCTACTTGCTAAACTACTGCTATAGTATTAATATTTTGTTCACTGTTAAGAAAAGCTATTGCATTAAGACGCGGAAGAAATTCTTCCCTTTATTTATAATGCGCGTAACAATTTTACATGTTATAAAGCAACTTCATAAATTGGGATCTTTTTCGCGTCGTCATATCCTAGAACCAATATTTATGGAATACATACAAATTCAAGCGAAACCACTTACATGCGTCACAACAAAATGCTATGACGCAAATAGAATCATAGAGTACGAGTGCGAGTCGAATTAAATTTCGACGTGAATGTTGTTGTTGACGTATTGGATCGGTCAAACGATTTCCAATTTATTCGGTATATACGAAAAAATGCGAAAAGCGATGGAAAATAATATAGCTTTACTTTCTAGCGTTGTTCGATGACTTTAATCGTTGACGGTAAAAAACGATACGTGTTTTGTATTTATTATCAACATTGCTCTTTTCTCAACACAAGGTATTTGTAATTAACTGAATCATAATAGTATCGAGAAAATATTTTTTTAGTTACTCGGAAAGGGATAAGCATCTGTCGTTAATTATTAATTTTCGTAATAATTGACTGGAATTATTTTTTAGATTAAATAATATATTATTTTACTCTTTCTACTCTTTCGTTATGCTATTAACTTATTTTCTACATGTTATATTTACACGCTAAAAGGTACATACATATAGATTATTATTCCAATAATTCAATACACTTCAATTTAAAATATTCTTAAAATGTAGTTTTTACTTAAAATAAAAATAATTAAAAACAGGTTATTTTATTAAGTATATACAAGCACGAATACAATTAATAATTAATTTTAAATAATAATTATTTATTTTACTCGATAATATCGCTATTAAGAAAAATTTTGTTTCGTCTTTCGTTAACCGCCTTTATATATTTGAGAAATATTTTTATTTCCTTAGTATAATAATATTTGTCGTAATTATTAAAATTATGTTATTTGCAGTAATAATACCATATGAAATATATATAAATTTTCGTTTTATAATTAATTCTGTATAATTAATTAATATATAAATTTATTGAGCAATGTTTCAATGATTCCATCAATATATCAAAAATATAAATATATTAATGCAACATATGAATTATTACATGCTAAAAGCAGTATCGTGATGTGTTAGCGACATTTATTTCAATTTTTTGAAATGTCTGTCATAACAGTAGCATAATGATTCTGTATAATGTTAAATCTATTATTATGTGAGTGATACTGTTCAATAATTCAAGATAAATCTTGTTAACACAATACCAACAATGCTTGTGTGAAATCTTGTATCGCGTCAACTTGACACTTGTTGGTATCTTAATTAACTAAAAGCATCGCTCGTGATAACGACACGGCACCAGTCGAGCATCTGTTTCTACATTGACTAACTCTCCGAACTACATAAAACCCATCAATTTGTCAGTGACATTATTGCGAACTTGTTGTTCAATAATTCAAGATACGGACAAATCTCGTTAACACGGAGTATGGAATACCGCAGCAGAAGTCATCATCCCCATCGCGTGTATGACATGCGCGCGCGTGAGGCATCAGCCATCAACCGCTCCTGCCCGCTCCTAGGGCTCGGCAGTGAATGTGGTGGTCGCGGTCGGTGGGATCCGGCGGCGCGCTTGTTCGGCCATCTCCGCCGTGCTCGGCAATCTCCGTCGATCTCTGCGGGGGCAGAGGCCTCCTACCCTCTCGCGCAGTCTCGCGCAGCAGTGTTCACACTATCGCGTAGGCGAACGGCGGCGTATGTAGCGCGACGTCACGGTCTGTCGTCCTTTCGTCCTGTGAGTGATTTCGCCGGAGTTGTATCGTAGTGCCGGAATAAACGGAGGTTCGCGATCGTCGCTCGTCGTGCCGTCGAGCTGGATCTCTCGCGTTATTTCGCCTGTCGAAACGTGATAATCGGATACGCGCCACCTGCTGTGCGACTCGCTCTCGCCATCCTCGCACCACCCATCCCCGTTGTCGTCGTCGCCGCCACCGCCACCCCTTTCGTGCTCTCTCTCTCTCTTTCTCTCTCTCTCGTCGATTGGAACGGATGTCCGAGGACTCGCAATACGACGGATATTCCGCGAAGAGAGGAGAGTGGTCTTCGCGGAGAAAGCTAATGAGCAAATTGATTGGCACAGATTGTCTCGAACAACAATCGCTTTGAAGTTTGGCGTGAGTGTGCAGGTGAAGGCAACTTTGCATCGATCGCATTTGATAGATCAGTTTGTAACACGTGACTCGTGCCGCTCGGACGGTTCGAATAGTGAGCGTTCGAACGGTCGACGTCGAGATTTCCGCAAACATCCGAATCTCGCGGCGTGTCGTAACCCAACTTCGATCGTCGCCGTTGCGACGCGCTTCCGGACGCTTGAAAGAACGTGACCGGGATATTATTCATAGCGTGTGAGCAAAACGCAATTTGTTCATAGTGTTTAACCCTGTTTTGTACATTTCACAGGGATGACATTGTTTCGAGGATCGAGTCAGAATTGAATTGCGAACCAGTGATGCTTGGATCTACAACTATCGAAGTTCCCTTGGATTAAGACAACTCTGAAGTTGAACAGGATTATCGAACTTATCGGGAAAGTTCTTTCTCGGAGACGAAAAAAGTGTACTACTGGAGACTCGTCGCGCATTACAGATCGACGTGACGCCGCATCCGAATGCAAGTTTGCGAGACACATTTGTGATACCGTTCGCAGTGATCGATCGTCCGATAATCAGACGGAAGTTCTTGCGTCGCATGGACGAACTTGTTTGTCCTAGAAGCGGAACGGGGAGCGCGGATGTTTGCGTTCGCATGAACATGACCAAAGGAAGTCGATGAGGCTTTGCCAGTGACAGCTTTCACGAGACTCGGATTATGTTACTGTCGATCGCGGGACATTCGTTAATGATCGGAAGAGAAGAGGACGTGCGAGGAGAACTGCGTGCTGAGACGGTTTGTTGACGCAAAATTGATCGTGCTTTTTGAGATTTAACGTCGAGACTGTGCTGTGTCGTCGTATATACCAGTGTCGCGAGTCGCGCAGTGTTACCGTTACGTACGATATGTGAAAGTAGTGATACAGATTGCCGCGATAAAGATTTTTCCTCCCGAGAGCGGACAACGTTCGTCACTCTTCGTCCTACTTAATTCGCCTGAGATTTCGCGCGCGCGTGTGTATGTGTGTTTATAAGTGGACCTCCGTCGCAGCCATGAAAGTCTCTGGAGTGATAGCAGAGAAGAAGCTCTTCGGGATGAGGCTGTTCGTGCTCATCGCTGCTTGCCTAACGTCGGCTGTAAAAGGTGCGTATTAATTTTTATACCATTGGGGCGAGGTCTTTCTAGCGAAACGCATACCGTAAAAAAGGTATATATTGCGCGCTCGGAAGCGTTTAACTGGTACCGAAATCGCCGTAATTTCGGCGAGCCATAATTTCAGATAAGCAAGACTTTTGCGTTAAGTGCCTGTTCGTAAGAAATACTGAATGAATAATAAAAAATCAAAGAATTCAGTAATCGTATTTTATTCGGTCATTTACATATATAAAATGTTCTTTTTTTATCAATCATTTTCAGGCAATTTTCAAAGACATAAGATATATATATATATATATAATTGAAAAAATTATTATCTTTTTTACGTTCTGCAGAATCAGAAGCCGGTTTTATTATATAATCTCATTTTGATCAAAGCAAATTCGAAGGTAGATTGAATTAAAAATGGGGAATATGCTTTTAGCTTCATTTCTCGTTTTGCAGATTGTAATATCCATTTTTTTCATAGTAACAAAGAACTATTTTTAAAATGTTATATACAACATAAAAATCAGAATAGTAGAATAATGCCATTTACATTTTGGTATCAATTTTTTTATGCTTTTATGAATCCACTATAATTTGAAAATTTCGAAAACAATTCACAAAAATTGAAGCACTTTTATAAAAGAATCCCGTCATTTTAACGTACTATATGTAATACTAGATTATCAAAAAACTATATTTCATAAGAGCATTGTGTGAAACAAACTTCTAAAATACCACATTTTATATAGAACGATCCAATAGATATAAAAAGGAAAAAAAAAACTGTAATCTTTATTGGTACAAAAATACGAAAAAAGATAATAAATATGCATGGCACTATATTGGGTACAAATCCAATATAGTCGATATTTATTAATAGAAATAACGCAATTAGATGCTATCTCATTTTGCGTGCTTTTCATGTTTAACATTGCACGGTAAATAAGTGTTAAACTAAAATCCTGCTTAAGTAAAATACGTTTGGAATTAATTGAAGAGATTACTGTTATAAGATTTCAGTATTTATTACCGAAGTTTAGCACGCGGAAACCCGCCGTTTGCAATCGTTTATAACTTTCGCAAACTATTAACGCTTCGACGTTTTAGTTAGGGAAAAATCGATTCTAAATTAGTCGAAGAATCTTCTTATTAAACTAAGGCTAGGAATTTTGGGCATCTCGTATATCAAGCTGAACATGAGCGGCAAGTTTGGCTTGAGGATAAGTTTCATCGCCACGAGATTAGATGCACTTATGTTACTCTTGGGCACTAAACTCTTATTCTATTATACTACTTTTCATAACTAATTCATAAATAATGTAGATATTATTAGTAAATAAAAAGACCTTTAAACAGCAGCGTAAAAAGATTACACTACTTTTCGAATTTAAAAGACTGACTTGTGAAGTATTTAACGAGGAAAATAATTGAAGTTCTTCGAAAAGGCTTTTTGGATAGTAATAAGCCATATTGTAAACTCGATGTATAATAATTTGTTGAAATTTTATCTGGTTAATTGCGATACGAGGATAAACGTAACAGTAACTGTTTTTCCACAATAATTATTATAAAATTTTTACAAACGGTAATAATTTTTTTAAAAATAAATATAAAAGGTAATTAAAAAGTGAGATGGTTTTCAAATATATCATTGAATAAAATTATCATGTTTATCCCAACCTCACAATTTGCTTTAATGGAGTTAGATATAATATAGTATATTTTAATTTTGTTCCTCTACAGCATCACAAAATTAAAAAATTTTTAACTTTCCGATCTGTTTAATTTACCGTTGATATATTTTCATATTGTTGTTTTTAGTCTTATTTTCGGAACTGTTTAATATTTATTAAATATATGCTTATTTATCGACTCATTTTACTCCGTTATTTACAGGTCTTTTTATTTATTAACAGTATCTACATTATTGGACGAAAAAGAACGTCACCGGAAAATGAGCTTCCCGACGGCGTTAACATGCAATGTTGTTTGCATAATGCAGTCGCGTTAAAAATATGATGGCATCATTCGGCAGGCGCGAAATGCGGGAATATAATGGGGAAAAAGGGAAGATGCGAGATATTTCATTATAAAATATGATTCAATTTTAAAATACCGGTATGACGGGCCCGTTTTCGCGTTACGATTTGGCCTCGCGTCGCACGCGATCGCCGAAAGAGGAATAACATGAAAATAACAACGAAACGCGTGAGATCGATGTTGTAATGAGTTGATCTACTAAACTGCGCGAAGTGAAGCTTTGCAAAAAGAATGATCCACGAGATGGGTGGCGGCATTGCACGTGATATTCTATTATCCTATTTTGCGCACCGATTTAATTGTGAACGGAAATCAATTTCGCAAAATTGAACGTATTGCGAAAAATTCTCGATATTGCTTCGCTTTTTGCGCTACTCCCTCGTGCTGTATACTATTTGCGCCATTATACTTTTATTGGTCCGCAAAGCACAGCGATATTTTGTCCTCTCAGTCGCGTACACCGCTTTGCGTATTCTCTATTTAATCATTTCTATATCCCCGCTTACTGTATAATGACATAATTTTTGTGTAATTGGCTGCATATTACTGCATTGTGCGCGCAGTAACAACGGCGGGGATCGTTTGAAACGAATTGAAAGAAATATTTTACTCTGGCATGCAGTTTATAATTTTTTCATGGAATCGATCGTTTTTTAACAGATATTACATGATTAATATGTTTGCACCAAATGTCCTCAAATTCTCGTTAATCAATGTTATATCCATGATCCTTTAATTTATTAATGTACACCTCTCATTGACAAAGAGTCGCCGCTAATTAACTCAAAATCGTTTAAGTTCATTTAACTTTTGGTATATCAATATTGATTCAAACAGACCCAATAAACAGTTTCACCAACATAAAATCAAACTCGATAAATAAATGTATTTATATTTTTATTTTTCGTCATATCGCCGCGCCTATTCGCTTCTTTTCCCTTAATGAAACATTCGTTAAAAATAATTACTATGCATTTTTTCCCCGCTAAACAATATTACTCGTCATTATTATATGCCATGAAAAAAAGAGAGTTTCTTTGAAAGCTTGAATTTGACCCAGTTTTGATAGCCTGCGTGTTAATATACACACATATAGGCTTTCGACGTTTAATTTGCGAAAATGTTTTAATTCCGAAAATCAAACAATTCCATAATTGAATGTCAGATTAAATTGTCGTCGAAAGCGAAACGTTGCTTAAAGAGGTTCTGCTGCTGATATTCCGTTTTAACCGTCGATACTGGCGTGTTTTTACGCAATATAATAGCACGATATCATTGGCCAGAATCCTATTCCGCGCATATATACGGTCCCATTTACATTCCAAACATCCTTATAATATCATATTACTTTTTTTTCGACCGCTCAGAGTGCCCGCAATTTGTTTTATCAAACCGTATATAGCGGCCGTGAGCGGTGAAGAACTTGCGCAGCTTGCTGCACGTAAGGCGCTTTGCTCGGCACGATGAAAATATGAGATTTACGGGCGGGATTGCGGACTAAAACGCTGGGGTTTTACATGTCGAAAATTACATGTCATTCATAATGCTAATGCGGCTTGGTAATCGGCGGCGTTATCGAAATATGCCGTATACCAGTTAATTGTTGCGCAGTCACGTATAGATGGAAGTACACTACGGCGTTCGGGGGTTTAAGCCGTATACACTCGCCATAAACAAAATATATAAAGCAATTAGAGCGATTAATGCGATAATACGACACGCATATTCTTGAATGAACCCGAAATCGAGCCTTTGATCAGCGAACGTTTAATTACAAGGCCTGTATTTACCCATTTAATTTCCCGCGTTCGATATTCCGGCGATTAACCCCCACGGTATTTTAATGTCGACCCTGAAAACAAAATAGAGTGGCTGCCATGAAGTCACCGCGTGCAAATCGTATCGACATATTCCGCATGAGCGATCGTGTTTGCGCGCACGCACGCGCGCGCACAGGCATCGGCAGACGGAGCGAATCCTTAAAACGCGGGATTGCGCGCGCGGTGTGTGTGTAAGGACTTGGAAAACTCCCTTGGATCGTAGCCAGAGTCGATTGTTGTGCCAGCCGCGATACGAGATTATATGCGAACGATAGAGATGCGGAGCAGACGTGGTAACCACAGGCAACAGCGTGAGGAGAGAAAATTTGCCCCGCTAAGAAAACAAAAGCAAAAAAAAGAGGAAAAAGGAAACACAAGTCTCCCACTTCGTTACGCGCGCGGATCGCGAGTATCCTCCGGGGGGATCATCGGCGCGGATCACCCTCTCGAATGGCTGAATTGCGGATTCACTCGCGATCTTCGACGCGCCCCCGCTCTCCTCCGCTCGGAGAATATCGCGTAATTACGAACTTGAACTTTCGAGTAGCTGACGAGGAGTAGCGATCGATGAGTAGAGGCGCTCTCTCTCTCATTCGGCCCTTTTCGGCCCGGAAACTCCGACCGAGCGGTAATCGCAAAACTCCGGCTGTAATTGCAGTCCGTTTAGCTGCGTTTCTTAATAAACTGATAACTCAGCGAGCAAAATGTCAGTAGTACGCCGGCGGTTTGCCAACTAATTTGATCAGTACATTGCGGATTGCTTTTGCATTAAGCTTGTGCTCCGCCAGTAACTCGATTCGCTATTTCGTAAACATTTAGATGGCATATTGTCTAGGAATATATATTCGCGAAGCACATAAAGATGCACGTTGAATCAAATAGAAATCAGGGAAAAGTTGAATTAAGTAGACTATTAATCTTTCATAGCGAGATAATTATTTCGAGTTTTGCTCGAGTGTGATTCAAAAATAATTCCAGCGTTACGGAAAGATCAGCTTTAAATAGCTTAAAGAATAATTAAAATTAATATATCGAACGTTTTTAGAGAGAATAGCTTCCGGGCAACCGTTGAACACTCCGCTTTTTTCGTTTTGTTGCAATAATATAAAACAGAAAACGAGAATCAATGATTGTTACTTG